ACCTAGTCTGGCTGGCGAGAACTGTCAAATGGAACAACCCTCCTGGACCCCCTGGGTTATCTTTGTTGCATGTGATGCCTCTCAGCCACTTCTCCACCGTGCCCTCGTCGATCTCCTCTGGGTGGATCCGAGTGGATCCTCAATGCCCGAGTACATCCACATTGGATGATCGCGAGCTTGGAGCGGTTGGATGCGTCGTTTGAGGAATACCTCCAGCAGATCCATACCAGTCACGCCGTCCCGGATGAGCTGGACCACCCACTCGACCAACGCCTTCACCTGAGCTTTCTCCTCCGAGATCACTTTCAGTGCGGAAGGCCTCTCGACCCGAGCCATAGAAAAGGCGGAGAGCCCGGTCAACTGACCTGGAGTCGGCTGGTCTTTACAATAAAACCAGGTCGACTGCCAACCCCGGACCAACTCGGGAAAGATCATGGTTGGGAAAGTACTTTTGTTCCTCATCTGAATCCCAAGACCCCCGCACATCTGAATCACGTGCGTTTTCTCGTCACTAGGATTGGCCTTCTTGACCGACTGAGAACGACAAGTGAAAATGTGCTTGAAAAGACCCCAGTGTGGCCTACAACCTAAGAAGTTCTCACACATGGATATGTAGGCGGCAAGATATACGATGGAATTGGGATTGAAGTGGTGAAGTTGTGCTCCAAAGAAGTTCAAAAACCCCCGGAAAAAAGGATGGGGAGGTAGAGAAAATCCATGGTCGACATGAGTTGCGAGGAGTACGCACTCACCATCTCGAGGACGCGGTTCAGTCTCTCCTTCCGGGAGCCGCGCCGACTCGTGGGGGATCAGCCCTCCCTTGACCAGATCGTCGATGTCGTCCTGGCTGATGGTCGACCGAATCCAGTCGCCTTGGATCCAGCCGCGCGGCAGGCCAGACCTTGAGGAGGATCCGCCCCGGCTGGACCTCTTCCCCTTCACCTTCGTCGTCGCCTTCTTCGCGCACTCCAACGCCACTGTCTTCTCCTTCCCCATGGCAGCGGTTTGAGTTCGAACGGAGCGACGATGCCGAGAGAGGAAGCAGATGTGGTAGAGAAAACAGAGGAGGAAGGGGAAGAATGGGAACGCACTGTGCGAAAACCCCCGTCCGACGCCTTATATGAGGTCATTTCCGAGTGGTTGACTCGTGGGCCTAGGCAATCCGATCAAATCCTGCAACAGTCGTGCACGCGATACGTGGCAAAAAAGGTGGAACGGAGATCGAGGCAGCCTGCCTAATCTGTCCCGATTACTGCGGCCTCCTCCGCCCGGCACGCTTCCCAAAATTCAAATCCCACGAAATCCACAGACATCAGAACAACCCGTCAGACGGATGATTTTTCCCATAACAACACTCGGAGCCTAGCAATGAAAGTTCACTTGACAAAACCAAGAATGGATCAAGACGACTGAACAAGCAGTTGAAGACATCATGAATGTTCATTCGACCTCTAGACAAGACATTTCTGAAGCGCAAAAGCTGAATCGGAGAGGTTATCAACTCCTTCTCCACTCGAACCCTGAACCATTTGGGGGTTAATGATGAAGCTATGTACCTAGGGTAGGGTCATAGGCCTGACCTAGACACCCTCCCCTAGGACATCACCCTAAAACCAGAAGCATTCGAAGAGGAGTCATCATCCACTCGACCATGAGGACTTCCACTCGGAAGATTTGAAGTCACTCGACCGCGGAGACTGTCACTCGACCACCAGAAGGTCTAAAGTCGCTCCAAACTACAACGGTCGGACATCACCTCATAGCTTTAATGGTCATTATGTCTCTTTATTTACTGGCGTTACCAGTAACATCTCCCTTTAATGTACCTTAAACCCTTTGTAACGTGGGACGGCTGGGGTCCTGGCGCACTCTATATAAGCCACCCCCCTCCACAGACACAAGGATTCACATTTTTTGTAAACACACACACACACACACACACACACACACACACACACACACGTATAATCCAGTCGACCGCCTCAGGGCACCGAGACGTAGGGTTGTTACTTCCTCCGCGAACGGCCTGAACTCGTAAACTCGTGTGTACAACTACTCCATAGCTAGGATCTTGCCTCCTCATACCTACCCCCCATTCTACTGTTAGTCTTAGATCCATGACAGGGAGGCGTAGCCGCCCCTCCTCTTCTCCACTAAGGCCCATCTTGGCCCATTAAACTCCCCGGGGGGTTCCGGTAACCCCCCGGTACTCCGGTATATGTCTGAAACTCCCCGAAACCATTCCGGTGTCCGAACATAGTCTTCCAATATATCGATCTTTATGTCTCGACCATTTTAAGACTCCTCGTCATGTATGTGATCACATTTGGGACTCCGAACTACCTTTGGTACATCAAAACACAAAAACTCATAATACAATCATCACCGAAACTTTAAGCATGCGGACCCTACGGGTACGAGAACTATGTAGACATGACCGAGACATGTCTCCGGTCAATAAACAATAGCGGAACCTGGATGCTCATATTGGTTCCTACATATTCTACGAAGATCTTTATCGGTCAAACCGCATAACAACATACGTTGTTCCCTTTGTCATCGGTATGTTACTTGCCCGAGATTTGATCGTCGGTATCTCAATACCTAGTTAAATCTCGTTACCGGCAAGTCTCTTTACTCGTTCCGTAATACATCATCCCGCAACTAACTCATTAGTTACAATGCTTGCTAGGCTTATAGTGATGTGCATTACCAAGTGGACCCAGAGATACCTCTCCGACAATCGGAGTGACAAATCCTAATCTCAAAATATGCCAACCCAACAAGTACCTTCGGAGACACCTGTGGAGCACTTTTATAATCACCCAGTTACGTTGTGACGTTTGGTAGTACACAAAGTGTTCCTCCGGTAGGAGTTGCATAATCTCATAGTCATAGGAACATATATAAGTCATGAAGAAAGCAATAGCAACATACTAAACGATCAAGTGCTAAGCTAACGGAATGGGTCAAGTCAATCACATCATTCTCCTAATAATGTGATTCTGTTAATCAAATGACAACTCATGTCTATGGTTCGGAAACTTAACAATCTTTGATTCACGAGCTAGTCAAGTAGAGGCATACTAGTGACACTATGTTTGTCTATGTATTCACACATGTATTATGTTTTCGGTTAATACAATTCTAGCATGAATAATAAATATTTATCATGAAATAAGGAAATAAATAATAACTTTATTATTGCCTCTAGGACATATTTCCTTCATCCATGACCACCGCAGGCACCGGTGCAGGGAGGCCCATCACCGCACCAACCACGAACGGGCCCACCGGAGCACGGCGGCATGAGCGGAACGCCACACTCACTTTATCGCTTGCATGGGGTCGTCCGATTCCGCCTCCTCCATCGCCCATAGCAACATCCTGAGCGCCCCCACCGGCCTGCTTGTCGGTGTGAGGCGCCAGTCTTCCGCCTCGGTGAGCTTCCTGTCGAGAACCTGGAGATGATCTCCACCAGCTTTGATTCGTCCCCGTCTACAATCACCCGAGCCCCCGCCTCGAGCCTCAGCTTCTAGGGCTTCATGGTTATCCTCTGGCGGATCGCTCGCTTGTGGGAGAGGAGGGGAGTAGATTTCGTCGAGAGGGGAGGGAATGGCCGCACCACACAGCGCTACAGCTTTAATCCTCCTCCATTCCCGACGCTCCCTCTCCTCCTCTGCCTCGATCTGCGCGTCACGCCACGCCTCCGCCTCGGAACCCAGCGCCCTGTCGACCAGCACAACGTGACAAGGGAAACGCACCTGCGTCCCTTCCCCGATCGAAAACTTTCCGTGTACCCGCATCGAGTCGACCGCGGACCCCGCGGTCGTTGATGAGGGCCAGCACAGGGGAATCACCCCGCCGGAGCAGAACGCCTCGCTTGAAAAATGTTCAGCGCCGACGTGGTGAGGTCGGCGACAAGGTGAACCGCCCACCGGCGGTTGAGCGGCGTCGCCACATGCGTCGCCATCCGGGGAAAGGCGGTGGGTTCTCGGCGCGCGTTTCTGCCCATTCTAGCTTTGATGCCTCTTTCGGGTCTTGACACACCCCTATTTGCAGACGAAAACTACCCCTGCCTCACTTCATCAATTTGAAAAAACTATTACTGTCAGCAACACCTGCATCGTCGCTAGTCGCTACTGGCGTGTCCGTACGCGCGCCGTGTGCCCACACTGCGCATCTGCCCAACCCCGGACGCCGCTACAGAGCGGGAGGGAGGGAGGGAGGGAGGCCCGACAAGCGACAAGAGCCACGTCCGAGCGGGTACTTCCAAGCGCGGCGAACCCCACACCCATACGATACGAGCCGAGCCCCAGGGCGAGGGAGACACCACCATAAATTAACACATGGCGATCCACCAGAGCCGTGCCGTGGATAATGATGATCAGGCTAAAAAACCGCGCTAGCCTCCATTCGCCTCGGACCCACGTCTCATGACCGAGAGTTTTCACGTAGGAGTACACACACAAGCGCAATTACTTCGGTGACGGGGCCGGGGGCCACCGCTCAGCCGCTCCTGGAAAACGTGTCGGAGACCCCGGTCAGTGGCGCTAATTGCTGGGGCAAGCGCAGCAGCTTGGACCGGATCCACTCGGGATTTCAGATTCACGTCAGAGGAGAGTCACGTGCAGCCATGCAGGCTTGCCTGGCTTTTAACCCGCCATCACCACAGCACCAGTACTGTTATTACTGTTACATCTACGCTACAATACATAATTTACCGCTCGCTCATGGATCCCAATCACTCTTACATGCGTACGCCGTAAAATGTTGGAACCAGCGTAGCAAGATGAACACAAGACAATGCAAGCCTGCGGTGCAGGACCAGGACGGTACACGAGATGCCAAGGAATTTATGGGACCAAATGAACTAACCAAAACTAGACCGGGACCGTAGCTCTCGAGTCTCGACCGGCCGCCCGCCCGGCCGGAGCCTCTAGGGTACATGCCGCCGTCGAGGAGTGTTGTGGTAATCAGCGGCTTATCTAGGCGACGATCTAGGGGTTGTAGAGGCGGCCGGCGCAGCGGCACTTCCACCCCAGCGGCTTGTAGTTGGAGTACTGCACGTTGGCCGCGGCCTCGTCGGCGGCGGCGGAGGAGGAGCCGCGGGACGCCGTGGACGGGCCGCCAGACCCCGCCGGGAGCGTCGTGGTCACCTGCACAGGCTTGCAGGGGTTGCACGTGTTGCACCGGTTGTGGCAGCTCGGCGGCGTCGACCCCAGCCGCGACTTGTCCTCCGCCAGGTTCTACCCATGAACATCAGCGTCAGTGCCATTTAGTTAGTTCGAGTTCGAGCCACATAAATTAATGGAGCTACAAGTGCGAGGGAGAGGGAGAGTGTGTGATGCTCTATCATCTATGCTCTGAGGATACACGTACCTGAAAAGCGGAGAGCATCGGCGGCGTGGTGCGGCTGAATGTCGTCACAGCTCCGAGGAGGAAGCTGAGGAGCATGGCCGCCAGGAACGCCCGAAGAGGAGATGAGCTCATGGCCATCCGACCATCTCGGTCGTTACAGCCGCAGAGTATGTGCCGGTGACGGTGAGAGTGAGGCTAAAGAGAAGAGAAGCTTCTAGCCTGGGGTGAGGCAGAGGCAGAGGTGGAAGAGGAAGCTAGCTTGCAGCTTGCCTTGTGTGTAGGTTCTTCGATCAGACTGGCCAGAGCTAGGGATACAGCTAGGAGAAACCTAGCTACTCTGTTGGAGCTCAAGGTGGCCGGCTAGTGCAGATGGGCGGGCAGTGATGGTGCCGCTGGATCGGACATCAGAGGGTAAAAGAAGGTGGTCAGTGGCCTATGAGGAGCGAAGTTGCAAATGGGATGAGAGCTAGGAAAGAGACGAGACGGGCGTATATGTATGGGAGGGAGGCTGAGATGCCGCTGCAGAATGGAGCCATGGAGGTCGCAAGAGACAGAGATGGTGACCACCCCTCGCTGCCACATGTGACATTGTACACGTACGTACCACTCCACTCGGTGCTAACCCACGGCTCCTAGTGTCACCCTCCCTAGATTGAAGGAATTTCACAGTATTTACTTTAGAAAGCCATTTAAATCATAGGATTGCTGCCACCAAATTTACATGCTGCCTATTCCATACGAATATGAACATGAGCTCAAATCTCATTTTATTTTTCTTGGAGAAGTCCAATACACTCTATCTCTCTCTACTCTCTCCCCTCAACACTCTAAAATTTCTGTGTTTTTTTCTCGTGGGCCATCCAAAGGCACGCATTGCAGAATTCCTGTGTTATGTAATCCCATTGGATTTTTTTGCGGGTGAATCCTATTGGATTTTGTGGTAGGCGACATCGAAATCCTATGATTTTCCTTCCTATATTTTTTGAATACTATAATCAAACATTCAAAAAAAGAATACTATAATCCAAAGTGGTCCTACAAAGTGTTAGAGCATACATGGTTCATAGTCGAATTTCAACGTGGCAAAGAAATTGGTCCCCAAATTTTTCAAGGCTCCTTTGATTCAAATGGATTTCATAGAATTTTGGAGTATTTGGATCCTTACGAACTTTTCTATGGTTGTCGTTCGATTCGCATGGTTAGAATCTTCGAAAATTTTGGAGTACTATATTTTGAAGGAAAATTTTCATGCGCTCAAACCTCTTGGCAAAATTCATTTGTTTATCCTGTGCCGTCAAACATTCTTTCATCCAAATTTTCCTAGTCTTGTAATCTTGGAGGATACAGGAGGACACCATACTCTATTTCGAGTTTCTTTTACGGTCTTGTTAAATCTCGGTTGACCGAGACTTCGTTATGTCTTGGTCGACGCTATACTTGTGAGATCTTATATTGAGTTTCGTGCAAAAAAAAATTTAGTTTTTTCCTTACATGTTATATCACTTGATCGATATTTGGTTTGTGTCAGTCGACTGAGACACACACTCCTTTTTTCTTCTATTTGTTTGTTTTGAGAGTCCTGCAAATCAAAGGGGCCATATAAACTTGTGTACTCAAATACAGTAGCCATATCCATTATCGCATGCGCACTTAAAGCGTGAGTGTGACAGTTAATCAGGGCCGGCGCTTTAATTTTATTTGACGAAAAGGAATTGGGTGGCGCCACAACAATCGCTATCATGTCGGGAAACATGGCCGGGTTTGACGCTGTGGCCTTGACTGGCCCGCATACGTGTCACAATGAATGGGCAAGGCCACCCTACAACTGGTGATAGCGAAGGATCGGCGGGCGCATCGCTTGTGGTTTCATGAGAGCATGCCAATGCAGGCTAGATTAGCTGTGGCAGACAGGGATCGAGGCCGAGACGTCCGGCCGTGAAGCGTGTGGATCAGTGTGCAGTGCACGACAGTTATCCAGAGGGCATCGCGGCGAAAACAGCTCACGTCCACGCGTGGTCCAGTCCAAGCGCTCCGCGGCAGCGAAACCGAAGCACGGTGACGACGACGTTACACGAAACCGTGTTCGATCGGCTTTTCGTTTACTCCTCAATGTAGGTTCAAGCGTAGGTGATGTACTGATGTGCTCCATTCTCCGTGCAGGATCATCACTGCTGGTGCTGGGCTGGTCAAAGCGGAGTAGTAGAGCACTGCTGGTGTAGGACTGTAGACGTCTGTATTCTGTATGCATGCAGCAGGACTTCATAGTCCGGCAGTCTCTCTCATTGGTGGCCACTCCTATCATCCTATGTATCACCAGCACTAGACGGTCAAACAAGTAAACAACCGTGGCAGTGGCGCGCATAGTTCTTCGTGTAGGCTGGCTGGCTGGCACGCGGTGAGGAAGATCCCGGCGGCAGAGAGGAGAGCCTGCCGAGAGCTGGAAAGCGTGGCAGAAACGAAGGAGAAAGGCGTCCCAGTCAACGTACGTAGTAGCTCCGATCCATGACGGCTCATGCGTACCGGGCAATGTGCATGCAGGCCGTCGCCAGAAGACTGGCACGGGGTCGATGCGCCGGGCTACTTTGACCCATGCGCTCGTAGTACGGCCGCAACAGTTGGCGGCAGCGGCTCGTGGCCTCGTGCAAGTGCCCGATGGGGTTTGCTCCTGTGTTGAAGCGGCTGCACGCGGCGTGAGCGTGCCAGGCCGTAACGGTGGTGGTTGGTCGAGTATCGGTGCTGTCGGAGACGGCGAGCACGGCCGGGAAATGGCACTAAGGGGCTGTTTGGTTGCAGAGTAGTGGCGCCACATTTGTTTAGCCGCACTTGCGACGCGTCACAAAGTTTGGCGTTCAAAACAAACGCCACAGAGTGTGGCGAGAAATCAAATGCAAAAAACATTGCATGTCTGTGGCGAGCCTAACTTTAGGAGGCAACCAAACGGCAGCCTAGAGAGCTGTGGTGCGCCGCACCTTTGGCGTGGCAAGGTGCGGCCGGCAACCAAACAGCTTCTAACTTCGTTCAGTTCCTATCCCTCGAACGGCGTTTCACTGTTCGTTGTTCAATGGATCCTATTGACAGTTGTATTCGATCCGCAAGGCTTTGTGCCAGGAGATAAGGCTAGTCTCACAGTGGGAGTAACTTTACTAGACCAGTAACATGCATATGTTACTCGTCTATATTACTACTTCCTCTTTTCTGGTTTATATGGCTTATCTCAAAATTTTAGTTTTTATTTTGTTTTATAAGGTTCAATTTGATTGTTCCACATCACATGTTCAGACTTTAAGGTACATTAAATCATTGCCTTATACTGCAAAATATTCCACCACTCATCATCTATCTTGGTTGGTGAGATTTTTGAATTGAGCGTTAGACTGGTCATAGTGGGGAGTAACTTAGACTAGTGTCATATGCATGACACTAGTCTAAGTTACTACCTTCATAGTGCAAAGTATCTTAGCAGTAGTGTCATAGTTTGTTTCATTTATTGCCTTATAGACTCATTTTACCTCGGGAAGTGCTATGTTACAGTAACATATTATGTTACTTCAAGCACCTCTCTCCTCATTAAATACTTGTCACATAAGCAAAATTGTCTTGGGATGTGTTAAGTTACTACCTAAGTTACCCCACTATGGCTAGCCTTATAAACCGGAAAGGAGGGAGTATCTCTATAGTGGGTAGTGTCATAGATATGGTAACATAGAGGGCTTCATTCATTACTTTGTAGACTCATTTTATATTGGGAACCGGTATGTGATGCTAACATATTATGTTACTTTATTTGCATCTCTTCTCATTAATTACTTGTCATATCATATTTTTTGCCTATGTGACATGCATGTTACTATCTATGTTACTCTCACTATGATGATTTTTTTTCAAAACTGTGATGATTTTCATAGCAAATTCGGAATCTATACGTCTTCATGCACCAAAATCAAAACTAACACCCCGTCGGCCTCCAGTTGGCCGAAGAGGGGCTCTTCGGCATGCGGTTGACCGAAGTCGGCTCTTCAGCCTCCCGTTGGCCGAAGAGTGCCCCAACTGGACCGAAAAGGACTCTTTGGTTTGCCGTAGGCCGAAAAGTTCTCTTTGGTCAACCGTAGACCGAAGAGTCCTTGGGCCCCAACTTTTCACGTTTACGGGAGGCCGAAGCTGCAAGGCTGCGCTCTTCTGCCTATGCTAGGCCTTGGGGCCCAAAGAGTACTCTTCGGCTACGGTTGACCAAAAAGTACTCTTCAGCCTACGATAGACAAAAGAGTCCTTTTCGGCCGAGTTGGAGTACTCTTCGGCCAACGGAAGCCTGGAGAGCCCACTTCGGTCAACCGTAGGCCGAAGAGCCCCTCTTCGGCCAACTGGAGGCCGACAGGGTGCTAGTTTTGATTTTCTTGCGTGAGGACGTATAGATTCCGAATTTGCTATAAAAATCATCACGATTTTGAAAAAAAAAATCCACTATGAGCAGCCTAAGTCACCGGTGATTAAGACTACCCAGGGCGTAACAGATTAGTAATATGCATATGTTACTAGTCCATATGTAACTATTTTTACGGTAGAGAGTAATATATGTGTTGTATCAAACTAGATTTATTATTTTATTGTATATATGATGTCAGTATTAATTAGCTATGTCACTCAATTCATCTCCCTTCTCAATAGATCATTGCTATATAAGCAAATTTGCTGATTTGATCCTATGTTACTGCTGAATTTACTCCCATTATGGATAGTTCAAGATGCGGCGGTGCAACGCAAAAGAAAAAAACAAATATTAAACGGGGCAGTGACGTTTCTGCCACTGGTATACATATTAATTCAAAAATGTAATATTAATTCGGCCAGTGAGGTTGCATGATCAAAACCAAACATACCGCACAAGGTATACATATTAAATTAATGAAATAAACCTTGTACGACGAAGACAGATGGAGACAGCGCCCTTTATCCTCCAAGGTCGCAGGGGATTAGCAAGGGAGATCCGTTTACGTTTTCAAGTCACACTGCCCATTAGAAAATTCGCAGGGGCACGCACCTGCTGAAATGCCTTCAGCCGTCCATATATGTTGTAATCTATGCACATATTTGAACACAAAGTCGTTGAAAAATGGATGAAAATTGTTAACTCTCTGAATATG